CTCCCACCTCGCTCTCCCTGTTCCTCTTTCATCCTTCACAATCAGCTTCCATTATCTGATAATTCTACCTTAATACTCTTGAATCTTTTCACTGCACCAACGTGATCAGCCCATATCATTTGGCCCTACAAATCACTTCACAGCAACCTGAGTGGTCGCCTTGCCTCCACCAGCCCATCCTCCACTGCTTCCTAGGAAAATCTCACTAAGTACAGCCTCATTCTATCATTTCCTCTTTAACGGCTCTCTAATAAAGCTCCAAACCCTCTGCGTGGATTGCTGGCGCCCACTGTTCCACCACCCCTTCCCTCTCTGCTTGGGGTGCCCTCTTCCTTCCACCTGCTCCTCACCACGACCCCTTCCTTTTGGAAGTCTTACTCATTCTTTAGTTCTCTTCCGGCATGCTGTACATGGGCACTCCTTCTCGAAGGAGCAGCCATTCCTCTTGGATCCTGCAGCCTGAGAAGTCAGCAATGTTGAAGAGCCTACAGGCTGACCACTGGCACCTGCAGGCCCTCTCCATTCCCGTAGGAGCCTAGCGGATCGAAGGGAGCAGCTTGGCATCTGTCTCACAAAGTGGCTAACCTGGGAGAACTCAGTTCCCTAAAAGTCTGTGTGTCCCTGGTTGGAGGACTGAGCTCCTGCTTGTTGCTGCTCAGAGCCTGTATTTTCACTGTTGGATGCTTTCCTAAGAGAACTGGAATTAATAGCTCCATAATGAGAATGAGGGGCTGGCACCCACTCCTGTTTTCTTAACAGAACTATGGCTGCCAGCTTCACTGTAGTTGCTACAACATTGCAAGGCTCCGATCTCCCTGATGGTAGGAACAGCTGTGGCCTTGAGAAGAGTTCCAAAAGATGGCACTGGAGAAGCATGTGAGGGGTTCGCAGTTCCCTTTTTAAAAAAAATATTTTTTTTTATTGATCTCAGGGAGGGAGATAGAAACATCATTGATGAGAGAGATTCATTGATCAACTGCCTCCTGCTCACCCCCTACTGGGGATCAAGCCAGCAACCCAGGCATGTGCCCTGACCAGGAATCAAACTGGTGACCTCTTGGTGCATGGGATGGCGCTCAACCAATGGAGCCTCAGCAACCAGGGCCATGTGTCTTACATTCTTTAAGTATCACTCTGGCTGCTGTATTGAATGTTATCAACTTTGAAGGGCAGGGGACAAATGTGGAAAAGGAAGACCAGTATGGCTATTGCAGTATAGTGGCTTGGAGCAAAATGATGGCAGAGGAACTGGTGAGAATTCATGGGATTATGGAGCTGATAGAGGAGTGTGAGAAAGGTGACCAGGATGACTCCTGTGTTTACAGCTGTGCAAGTAGCCTTTTACTGGGTGGGAATGCTGGGAGGGTGAGAGATCAAAAGTCCGATTTTGGACGCTTTCAAGAAGAGAAGCTATGTTGGCAATGCATTTGAGAGTTTGGAGAGTAAGAGTGTTCCCATTGTTTGTTTTGTTTTTTTTTTTTTTTTGCTGCATTATGAACTACTTCAGATGTAGAGGTTTAAAACAGCAACAATTTATTATTTCTTACAATCCTGTGGAAATTCTGCTCAGCTGGGCAATTCTGCTCCGGATGACATCAATTGAGTCTCTCGGTTGGCTGCATTCAGCTGGTGGCTGGGCTAAGAAGGTCCAAAGTGGCTTCACTCACATGTCTGGCACCTCGGTGCTCCACCGTATGGCCTCTCACGTGCTCAGTCTGGGCTTCCTTGCAGCATGGCCGTCATAGGGAGTCAGTTCCAGTCAGGCACACGATCATGAGGGCAAAGAAACAGTACTCGGCAGTGCACTGTATTGTCAGCGTGTTTTAGACGTTGCGGTCTCAGCATGTTGAAGGTAGTCTGGACTAAGGTATGCTATTTAGTAGGTTGGCTATATTAAATGTATTTTCTACTTAAATTTTTCAACTTACGATGGGTTTATTGGCACGTAACCCCATGGTAAGCGGAGCAGCATAAGTATACACATGCACTTCCTTTACAGAGCTAGAAAGAAACCTTTTGGGTAGTATTCTCAGAAATGTGAGAACGTTTTACATAAATCCAACAATCCTTTCCTGGGGTCTCATTTGGGTTGAATGTGGGTAACACATGCAATGTCTGAGATACCATGTGCTGAGCTGTGGCAAAAGGAAATGTCTGATGTCTGATAGCATGTGCTGACCGGCTGTGGCAAAAGGAAATGAATTCCATGACTGGTCAGGAACATGTAAGGCCCACTTCTGTTGCTGGGCGGTCAGCTTCCCCTGAAGCATGTTGGTTGTACTGGGGAGAAGGCAAAGGAAGAATGAATGCTGAGTAGGTGACTGAGAGATTCCGTTGCTAAAGTGAAGCAAAGAACTGAGACAACTTAATGAGACAGCTTATAGATGGTTCAGGAAAAAAATATCTGCCTTTGAAATTGTGTCATTTCAGTTTTTATTCCAGAATCATACAAAGCACTATCATCCGTATTATGTAGCAGTGGCTTTCAAAACGTTATTACCATGACACACAGTAAAAAAAAAAACCACACACAATATCCTTTACATTACCACCAAGGTCATACATAGTCTGTCCTTCCTTTCTCCCTTCAATAAGTAGGTACTGACAGTCTACTATCTGCCAAATGCCATTCTAAGCACAATACAGTAGTAAACAAAGAGGGAGGGAGAGAAACAAAAACTCTTGCCTTCAGAGATCTTATCTACTGATGGAACACACAATCAACACCATAAGACACATACACAAACACACAGCAACAAGATTCAAGGAACAAAACCTCCTGTTACTACATCCTGTCACTCTAATGAAGTAGACAAAGTGTGTTCTCTTCCATTGCAGATGGAGTGACATGTTAAAGAGTGATTAGGCAAGTTAGGCAAATACACCCATAATCCAAGGGAAGCAATAATGAAACTTCATCTCAGGGCTTTGGACGGAGTCCACTGCTGCCCTTTCCCGCGTCCTCTGTAGTCCTCGCAAGTGCCTTCATTCCTGCTCCTCTGATTATGAAATGTTGACCTGGAACAGCTCTTCCTTGCCTTGCCAGGTAAAATCACTCCAGTACTTCTAGGCCTATCTAGAATGCTGCAGGTTCCAGGATGCTCTCATGTCACTCACTGCATTCTGACTTCCATTAGCATTACTGCTGCACCAGAGTAGGCTCTGCCACTGTCAAGTCTTTAAGAGTAGGTATCACTCATCACCCCCCCACACCACCACCACGAAGCACAGTGATTTACAGAGTAGATATTAATCAAAACATATGGAATTGAGTTGAATTTGAAAATGATTTAAGGGAGCAGGGGGGAAAGTGTTTACTAGCCAGGAGTGCATGATTTAAGCAACATCTATTTAGAAGGCTAGGACACTAAAAAAAGATCTCTTTAACCTAAGTTATAAAAGTCACACATTAGGTAGAGGCTTTGATGGTATAAAAACTACAATCCAAATTTCCTATCTCCCTAGTATCAAGTAGATAGATTTAGAAACATGGATATAGGTCGTGTATCACAAAAAACAGATACTTAGTCACATTCAAAAAAGTGAGGACCCCTCAAGGAAGCTGGCGAGACCTGAGGCAGATCAGGAGCCCAAGCCCCCAGGGAGCTCAGCAGCAGGCGTACGTACGGGCACCTTTGCCGCAATGGTGACCGTTACAATGGGGACAGCTGCCAACTCACCCAAATGAAGAAAATCAATTCAGATTTTCAAGAGAAAGCATCTAAACGGCACAGCCAATCCTTTTGCCCACTTCTCCTTTAATTAGTTTGGGCAAGATGGGGCTATGCGGTTGGTGCAAATGTCTAGGGAAGGAAAAGAAACTTTTTGGAAAAGGGAGATGAACTTTGATTAAATATTGGCCCAGACTGGAAATTTCAGTTTAAATTTTATCCTACTACTAGAGAGGATGGGGACTCAAGGCCAAGATGAGGTCTGTTATAAACAGTATATGAAATACTGAACCTGTGATATAGTATAAAATAATTTGAGTCCTATTAGAAGTAAAAAATAATGTAGAGTTTAGCTAAATGATCTCTTAAGTTTCAGAGACCTACAAATCTATGAATTTATAAACATATATCATGAAAACTGTATTCTCCAGCCCATGGTTTTCAGACTTAATTTTGAATTAAGAGATTTCTGATTCTGTAGGACTAGTGTAAGGCTGTAGGGAATGCATATTTAAACAAGCACTCCAGATTCCGTTAAAGATGTGTCATATTGAAAACCCAACGCCATTCCCTTTGAAGGAATTAAAAAGAGGCCCAGCTGGCACACGCTTCTAATTAGAACAAAAATGGACAATAAAACCATGCAGGTACACCACTGTAAGAACACTAAATAAGAGCATGTATAAGATTTAAAACCACCACATTTCACACATTTATTTTTAATAGTATTCTGTCACCTAATTTATAGTGGCATAGGTTTATAAGTGATGTTTCATTTAGTAACTTAATCTTGGATTTTCTTTTAAAATTGAAAGGAAACCAGATGTGAGTTAAAGAATATTTCAGGATGATATGTTGATTATAAACTCAAAAGGTACACTGATACCAATTCTATACACAGCAAATATGAATGTAACTTATTTTAACCTTTTGGTTCACATTTTAAAAAGCACCCTCATTTCTTTACTGTAAATGGCTTTTAAAAGTCTCTTGTGGACATGATGGACTCAATCCAACTATTTGGGGGCTTGGGGGTGGGGAGTAAGTTTATGTGACCATCTAATTGAGAGTCTGATTTAGCCTTAAAATCAAACTGCATTACAAATAAGTTACAGTCACAGTAGCATAATCAGTCCTCAGATAATACAGCTTCCAAAGCTCTCATCATCCTGGTTACCTTTTTTTTTTCTTTCACTTACACATACCTTTCTTTTAAGGAAGTAAAAAATATAAGTCCACCGATTCTGAAAGTCACAGCTTGTATAGCACTGAACGATAGTAGCTTTGGCGTTTGATATTACAAAGTCAATGTCATTACAAATAATTTCTTCATTCTGGGTCCAGGCGAGGTAAAACAGGAAGAATAAGATTTCCAAATGCGGAGTCTTGAGTTATGAAGTATCCAGATGAATGGGCATGTGCATGCTGGGAAAGAGTTTTAAAAAAAGGCAAGTAAGCTATTAATAATTCTTCAGCCAAGGCATTAAAATTAATTATCTTTTCTGAGTGCTTGAGATCAATTTTTTTTTCTTTTTCTTTTTTTGAGACCAAATTTATTTTAACAATCAGTGCCTATGCTAATTTTGTTAAAATACCCAGGAGATGGACAATAACAAAGAATTCATATTAACAAGTTGCACCAGGTATTCATCTATCATACAAACTTTCTCCCCAATGATTCTTTTCAGTCAATAAATGAGTCAAAAGCATAAATGATATACTTTGTTCCTTGAAATGGAGAGAAACTAGTAATAATGGTCCCAAAGTACTCTGCTTTTGATCAACAAAGCAGGAGCTCGAGAAAGAAGGGCAGTAGTTGGAAGGAGGAGGGGAAAAGGCAGATGAATGCTGGAATATAAATAACAGAAAACCACCAGTGACTTCCAGTGTCACTAAAAAAAGGACTGCTTTTATGTCATCTAAAGTGAGATTATCTCCCCGTCTAAAGTGGTTCACTGAGCGTCTCCCCATGAACCATACTTTGGTAACTAGTAGATCTCCTGTTTAGCTCAGTGGAGAGAGCACTGTGGCTGTGGACTGAAGGGTCTCAGGTTCGATTCCAGTCAAGGGCACATACCTCAGCTGCAGGCTTGATCACTGGCCCCGGTCAGGGCATGTGTGGGAGGCAACCAACCAATGTGTCTCCCTCACATCGATGTTTCTCTCTGTGTGTCTCTCTCCTTCCCTTGCACTCTTTAAAAATCAATGGAAAAATATCCTCGGGCGAGGATTAACAACAACAAAAAAAGTGAGATGATCTCTAATGTTGCTTCCAGTTCTGAAATTCTTAGGTTTAAAAGCGCATATAATGATGTCTCTGGGAATCTTAAATTATCGAAGATCAGAGTAGTAGTGAAACTGTTTATTACTATGAAGAAAATATTTTTTAAACTGATGGATTATTATTTTCCTATAGTAAGAGGATGCTTTGAACATTTCCTGTAACACAGCCATGCAGACATTACAAAAAGACCTCACACAAAAATAAACCAGTAAGACCATCAAAGGTTCTTATTTAAAAAAAAAAAAATATGAATATACTAGCCAGTTCAGCTTTTAAGATCATTTTGTCCACCCAAATATCCTAAACTCTCATGTGCAAGCAGTCCCTTGCCAGGTACAGCACAGAATCAATCATGACCGAGTCGACACCATAAAAGATATTTTCATTACTGCTGTTTTGGTCCTTCAGATCCTCTGGGCACCATTGAACATCAGCAAACCACTGCAATTATGTGTGGAACATTTTTATTGATATTGATCCACTGAAACACAAAACAGGAATTGTGCTGGCTTCCAAGACCCAGGACTCTCCAGGGACAAGAGTGTCAGTTGCACTCTGCTCACCTGCAACGCCGCCTTCTGTTGGGCGGCAATGTGCTGCTGCTCGGCGTGGTCCCGGAAGTCCTTATTAAGAGAGGGTCTCGAAAGTGCGATGCTGAAACAGGAATCTCAGTTATGGGGCTGTTTCACATACAGGTTTCCTTACTTCTGAATCACATTTTTTCATTACATCATATATTAGGTTAGAAAAAGACCTTCCAGAATATGCTTTCCTTCTCTCACTGTCTACATTAATATACACGAAGGAAGCCTGTTATTTAGTAGGGCTTCAAATTATGTCCTTTGTATCGATGAATTATGGCCCCTTACTTTCAAACGGATTTGAGGTATTCCAATCTACCATAGGTTACATTTATGATGAAAACTGAAGACTTGAATGTTCTGAGCAGAAGGTATGGCCTGGGAAAGGACCCAGAGCAGCAGGGCTTGACGTGTTTGAAGAACTCAGTTTGGTAGGACTGGAGGTCGGGGTTGGGGAAGGGTAAAGAAGGTTGGCAAAAAATGGGGCTGGAGGGGAAGGTAAGTGCCAGGACATGAAGAGCTTTGGGAGAGAAATGAAGAAATGTAGACCTTATCCCAGCAGTAAAGGGAGACTTCCAAAAAGGAGCGATGTGATCAGAAGCGCCACATGCAATTCAGAAAGAACACTGCAATGGCAGACAGCACCGGTCCCCTCCTCAACAGCTGTTTCTCTTCTTGCTAATGGAACCGAACTTAGTTCAATTATCAGTGATTTCATGCTTCCTGGCAGGCCATGCTCATCCCTCAGGGGAGAACTTTGGTGTAAGACAATGCCATCCCCTTTGCTGGTTTCTGGCTTAGGCAAGAGAAAGATACACCATTTTGAGCAACTAGATTTGATGGGTAATCTGTTGGAAGGCTCCTGAGAATATATTCCTCACTCTTACAAAAGGAACATGGGGTAGGAACCTCCTGGCCTTTGCCTCTCCAGGTGGCTTGGTGTAGAGGGGAGGTCTAGGAAATCGCAGTCACATTTTGACCCTAAGGAGCTGCTGACTCATGGAGAAAGGAAAGATGAGAGGAAGCTGGATCACTGCTGACACAGTTGTGCCACTGCATTAATCTGCTCTGAACCACTTGATCTTCACATTCCCCATTCACATGTATCCTAATGTGTATGCAAACTGTTGTTTTTTTGTTAATTTCCAGATACACATTTCCAAGTGTAAACCTAAGAGAATGGTAAATGCTTGGAAACAGTAATTAAATGATAAACAATTAAAATTCGAATTTCTGACTTTGGTAACTAGTAGATCTGTACCTCTCACTGAGACAAAACACACAAGAATATTAAGTGGTCAGTTAAAGGAAGGGAAGATGAATTCAGTTTGGGGACTACTAGTTTAAAATGCCAAAGGACATCAAAATGGAGATGGTCAGGAGGAGAAAGGACTAGGCTAAAAATGCAAATGTGTCCAAGTTATCCGCACATAATTAACAGGCTGTGCAAGTGGATGCAACTGTCTGGTGAAAAGATGCAGACTGAGAAACGGCCTAGAACAGAACCCTGAGGAACCTCAACATTCAAGACGCAGGCAGTGGAGAAATGTCTGCAAAAGAAAGCAAGGTAGTGTAACAGTGAGTGAATGGAAGCCAACCAAAGAGTATTTTTAAGAAGGAGAGAGTGATCAGTGGGGTCAGATAATGCTAACGTCTCTAACTAGAAAAGGACTTTGGTCTAGCAGCTTTAGCCACCAGATGGTTACAAGTGAATTAGGCTCAAACCCATTCTAGGAAGTGGGAAGGAGACACCTGATAGTGGGTTGAGGTGTAAATAAGAAAGGAGAGGTGAGTGTAAACAACTCTATAAGAGGTCTGGCTAGAAAAGATGGGACAGTTAGGGCAGTGGCTGGATGGGATAATCTGAGGGAAGAGATTTAAGATGGCACAAATTGAATCAAGGGCATTAAGCTATCTAAATTTACCTACTTTGCAGAATACTTTAAAAAGTGGGACACTGGAGTCCAACCAGCATAGCTCAGTGTTTGAGCAAGAGTTCAACCAGGAGATCATGGTTTAATTCCCAATTGGGGCACATGCCTGGGTTGCAGGCTTGATCCCCAGTGTGGGGAATGCAGGGGGCAGCTGATCAATGATTCTCTCTCATCATTGATGTTTCTATCTTTCCCTCTCTCTCCCTTCCTCTCTGAAATCAATAAAAATATATTTTTTAAAAAGTGGGACACTGGAATAATTTAAGTTATAAACAAAACTCATATAAAATCCCTTTTCATAAAAATAGGCTGTAGGGAAAATTAAATATTCTAATTAGAATTAAAATATTTAAAATAGAATCAATTAAATATTTTTTTCAAATCTAGCTAGGAAACAAAATATAATGTAAATTCCAATATTAAAAAAAAAAACATTGCCAACCAACTTGAATTATTTTGTCCAAGATATCTTTTAAATCACTGAACTTAAAAATCACATTATTCTTCGGTACCTAGCTCCAGGATGATTTGTTGAAGATTGGTTCTGCATTAGTAATTTTCTTTTCTCTTTGTCCAATTCTGCCAAGATTGCAACTCTATTTTTGTTTTGAAAACCTAAAAAAAAAAAGAAGAAAGTTGGGAGAAGAAAAAGAGAAAGAAAAAAACATTTTAGAGCTATTTTAGGCCACCCAGAAACCCAGGCAGCAAAATTCTCTTCTCTAACATGATAATGAACTCACTAATAAGTAGTCTCTTTAGACAGTTACCGTTCCCTACTGCTATTTCCCAGCAACTGTAACAGCTTAATACATGGACATATGCAAAGCATAATGCTGACCAAGGACTTTTAAGACTCAATTCTAAAGAATTTTGATCACCAAGGTATAGGAAACAACATTTGTTTTTTTAACAAAATCTCTGAGGCCCCGATACTGCATGGACTAACCTCTCTCCTGCGCAGTCAATCTCTGGGAGTGGAGATTTTCTTAGTTCTCACTTTTAGGCCTCTTTATGAAAGTCTCTTTCATGGAAGAATAAAGCATTAGACATACTTAGATCAAAACAATGTTTCTTTTTCTCAACTGCTTTCATTCAGAAATGACACAATCTTTCAAGGAATAAGGCAAAGAATTGCAGCTGATTAGAAAGCAATTCTGAGAAAGAAATGGAGCATAACTGACAGGGTACAAAAGAGTGTGTTCTTCATCGATACTTAACGATGGGCTTGATCTTACAGAAGATCTTGGCCCAGAAGCAGTAACAAACAATGTTTTAGAAATCTGAATTCAATTCCAACGTGTACAGACAAAATATACATACACTCTTGAGTTTGCCGCCTTTTCAGCTAAAACTCGTGCCATCCACCCCATCCTGCGAGGGATGTGAATCACCCCTTTGTCCAGTGTATCCGTGCTGCACGTACAGTACAGTAAGATATGTTCAGAGAGACCACATCCACATAACTTTTATTACAGTGTATTGTTATAACTATTCTATTTTATCATTAGTTGTGGTTGTTAATTTGTTACTAGGCCTAATGTAGGAATTAAACTTTCTCATAGGTATTGTGCATAGAAAAGACATACTATGCATAGGGCGCAGTACAATCTGAGGTTTCCAGTACCCAGGGGGTCTTGGAATACTCTCCTCATGAATAAGGGGGAGCCACTGCAGTTTACAAGCTACAGCTTTAGACCTTTAATACCAAAGCAACTAATCGCCACGGCAATCTGCCAAAGGGGTTTTAAAAAGAAGGGGCTGCCGAAACCGGTTTGGCTCAGTGGACAGAGCGTCGGCCTGCGGACTGAAAGGTCCCGGGTTCGATTCCGGTCAAGGGCATGTACCTTGGTTGCAGGCACATCCCCAGTAGAGGGTGTGCAAGAGGCAGCTGATTGATGTTTCTCTCTGATCGATGTTTCTGGCTCTCTATCCCTCTCTCTTCCTCTCTGTAAAAACTCAATAAAATATATTTTTAAAATAAAAATAAAAAAATAAAAAATAAAAAGAAGGTGCTATACAAATAAAGGCCAAAAAAAAAATATATTTTTAACAGTTAAATAACTACTTACAAATTTAGACCTCTAATAAGGCTGGCCATCACAAACCATCAATATCAACTCATCTTTATACAACTAGGAATATTACATAAACATAATAACCACTATAAGAGAACTTTAAATTTATGTATTAAGTTAAATTTATTAAACTGCCTATATCTGATCATTTTTTACTTACAAAAACAACAACTGCATATAATTCACCAATTTCTAATAAAAAAAACCCATGTCTTTCTTGGCCTGGTTAAGAAAGCCTCCCTAAAGAAATCCATGCATGTTTCACAGTCAGAGCACAGGTTGCTAGAGTTAACACCATGAAAATCAGGTGTGAAAATTAGTAACTATAGGCTCAAAATTAATATATAATTTCTAAATTAATAGAGTTTCTTTGTAAGTGTTCTTAGTTCACTAAGAACGGCTATGGTATATCTATTTACTACCTCATGGTTGGCCTGTTATCCAAATAAACAAATAAATGTGTATAAATGATGTGATAATATATTTGATGGGAAATTCAGAATATGAGTATTATTGATTTTATACACTAAAAACTTCCCTAAAAATGATGTAATACAAATTAAGGTAAGATATTTATGGAGGAATAGGTATATACTGGAATGTGTTCTTTAAGGGAATTCTAAAGTGAGTTCTTTGTAAAGTGAGAATGCTTTCAATGGAAAGAAAAGTGGAGCCTAGCCTGAGTGGCTCAGTTGATTGAGCATAGTCCCAAGAGGCTGCCAGTTCAGGACACATGCCCCGGTTTCAGGCTTAATCCCTGATGGGGGCCATGCAGGAGGCATCTGATCAATGTTTCTCTCTCTCAAATCAGCATTTTTTCAAAAAAAGGGGAAAACTGATACTCTCCCATGTATATATATATATATATATATGAAGCTGCATATATTTAAAGCAAGTTACACCACCAGCTATATTTTCAACTATAGTACAAGTTTTTTCCCCCCCTTTTTTTCAGAAGAGCCTCTTGTATTTTTAGAAACAAATTATATAGTTACATCTTTTTAGATTTAGAGGTACGATAAATATAAAATAGAAAATTTTTGAAAAGGAAAGTAAAAAATCCAAGAATGTTTAAATTATATGATAAGCAAAATAAGTTACCACATTGGAAAGAACTGAAGTGCTGTTTAGAGAAATATAAATTCCCTAAAGATTAATTTGTTCACAAGAAAATATTTTATACTATCCTCCATTAAAAGGAACCAGGGTTCTTGGGGAGTACTAGTTCCATGTCAGAGGGAAGGAAAATAATCAAGTGGACCTGCAATATCTTGTCAGAAAGCAAGAAGTGTTTTATTTTATTTTTAAAGGCTCAGGATATGCTCAAAGAAGAAAGAAGCTAGTTTGAGATTAGCCAGGCTGACACAATCGGAACATTAAAGAGAATAATAAATATAGCTAGATGGAACTAATCAAATCTATGAGCCATGAATTCACAAAAGGCAAGTTAAAGGACATAAATAAACAGTTGTAAAGAGAGGGTGGAAATAATAGTTACTATGTTAATAATTAAGTTAGTGTTAACATTTAGGTGTTTTGTTTCTACTAGTAAGTATTTATCTGTTTATAAAGCATAGCTGTGTACTCTTTCGTTTAGGTTCAGGAGGAAGGGGTAGATACAGGGAACTCAAGCTAAGCTAAAAAGTTCCAGAAAACCAAATTATGCACCGGAACAAACTCTAAATTCAAAAGTAGAATACTTAGCACAAGCCAGAAGGGTAAACTTGCTTTCTTCTGGACCCTAGGTGGTTTAGGAACACTTCTACTTGGGTCAGAGGTCAACCAAGACAACCTCCCAGGAGTGAAGCCACCCACTTCCTACAGAGCACCCGAAAATCACAGCGAAGAACAACAGACTGGCCCCTAGCCAACAGTTTCCACCACTTGATCTGCAGGGTCTATAGATATTTCTACAGGCATTTTGAGATCATTATAAAATAATCAAAGAGAAGAATTCACATTCTTTACTCAGTATTTCACCAGGATTCTCAGGTTAGACCAATCCAACTACCACCACATGATCACAGGACCTTGATTCAGTAAGACCAATAATGAAAGACTCTTTACACAAGAATGGTACCTTGGACAAAGTCCAGTCTGAGGATCTGCCTTTATATATTAAAATGTTTCTTCAACCTAAGAATAATGTTCCACACTACAGTGGATGCTAAGAAGAATATGAGACATCAGTAACTGTCTGCCAAGAGCTTATGAAATTCAGCAGACCTGATACTAATACAATATGATAGAAGGCTAGATCTGAAAGAGGGGTTAGTGGGCACAATGGGATTCTGTCCCTTACACCAGAGACATTAACATACTATAATGTATGGGTCAAGAATTGTTTAGTCATGCTGAAACCGGTTTGGCTCAGTGGTAGAGCGTCGGTCTGTGGATTGAAAGGTCCCAGGTTCGATTCCAGTCAAGGGCATGTACATTGGTTGCGGGCACATTGGTTGCGGGCACATCCCCGGTGGGGGGTGTGCAGGAGGCGGCTGGTCGATGTTTCTCTCTCATTGACGTTTCTGGCTCTCTATCTCTCTCCCTTCCTCTCTGTAAAAAATCAATAAAATATATTTTAAAAAAGAAAAAAGAAAAAAAAAAGAATTGTTTAGTCATTGTTCTTTCAGTTATTACTATAATTATGGCACTTGACCTTCAATCCCCATAATAAGTAGTCCCCATACTCATAAACAGTGCAGAAATATTTAATAAAGTAAAATGTAATAGATCCAAATAAATAAGTTTAATATTTTCATCGAGAGTCTGGGAGTCTGTAGAACATGATGTGGACTCCCTCTGCTGGTGGCTGATAGCAGCAGTTCCATGACGCCAACAAAATCGCTGACAAAACAGTAACAAAAGCCAAAGTGGTCGTGACAGTGTTTCATAGTGGATTTGACTATGGATCAATCAAAGGCCGCACTAAAAATGATGGTGTTTTATTACAACTGCTAAAAAATGAGTAACCAGCAAATTGTAAATCTCATGTATTTGTGTTCCTAGAATAATTTAAAATTTTATTTTCATTAGGGCTGCATTGCATGATTGTTAGTATATTTTCTTTTCAAATTAGACTTTTGTTAGTTTTCATTTTTGTTGAATTTCAATTATTTTCGATATGAGTCCTTATAACTTGGAAAAGAAGAGGTCAAAGACCACAGGGGAATACCGACCTGTGATTTGCGAGAACAGAACAGTATTAGCTGGTTACAGCTGGGTAAAGCTATGACTGCAACTAGCGTTTTACTACACTTTTATAAAACTCATGTAACCTTTAGTTTACCCAAAATCCAACTAATATACTAAAATAGATTCAGCGGGCTTCCAACTTCCAGGAATGGCAGAGCAGTTTGGTTACAGCAACCCTATTATTTGAAGGCATGAGGAACTGACCAAAATTGGGCAGAAAGTGAAACTGGTGAGATTTTGGAATCTGTGGCCTTTGCCTGGAGCACTCCTCAATCCACAAACAGCTTGGACAGCTCACCTTACCGATTTGAGGCATCAGAGGACAGAGTTCAGGGCTGCCAAATTTAGGGAGGGGGGGACTTAAAAGGGAAAGGCAGGAGTAAAGCCCAAAACATGCCCATGAAACCACCCACAGTTTTTGCTTTAACTAAACTGCACACATCTGGGGAGAGCCCAGGGAGCCCAGCAATAAAGCAGCAGCTGGAATCTAAGGGAGACAATCTGGAGTAAGAGTTGAACCAAGCCATCTGAGGGGAATACAACAGAACCCAGGAGCTCTACAATTATTAGAATATCCCGTATCCAAAAACAAATCACTAAGTAGAGTAAAAAAAAGTAAACTGTGACCTATACTAAAAAAAAGTGCAGTCAATAGAAACCAACTCCAAGATGATCCAGATAATGCAGTTAGCAATGACAAAGGACTAGTATCCAGACTCTTAAAAAACTTCAAAATAAAAATAACCCAGCTTTTGCCGAAACCGGTTTGGCTCAGCGGTAGAGCGTCGGTCTGCGGACTGAAGGGTCCCAGGTTCGATTCCGGTCAGGGGCATGTACATTGCTTGTGGGCACATCCCCGGTAGGGGGTGTGCAAGAGGCAGCTGGTCGATGTTTCTCTCTCATCGACGTTTCTAGCTCTCTATCCCTCTCTCCTCCTCTCTGAAAAATCAATAAAAATATATTTAAAAAATAAAAATAAAAAAAATAACCCAGCTTTTAAAAAGAACAGAAGACATGAACAAACACTTCCCAACGAGGATTTACAAAGGCCAATAAGTACGTGAACAAGTGCTCCACATTGGTCATAGAAGAAATGCAAGTTCCTGCTACAATGACATGACACTTCACACTCCACATGGCCCTCCCAGAAAAGACCAACAGCCAGGGCTATCTATATACGTGGAGCAACCAGAATTCTCACACTTGGCTGGAGTGAATGCAAATGGTACAAGCACTTTGGGAAAACGTTTGCCCATTTTTTATAAAGTTGACTATACACTGAGCGGCTCCACTCCTAGATATTTATCCAAATATCTGCAAAAAAGGCTTACAGCAAATACTCAAAGTGGTTTATTCATAATGGCCAAAACTCAGAAAACACCAATGCCTCCAAACAGGAGAATGATTCAATAAATTGTGATAAATTAATACAATGGAACTCCGAAATAAAAAGCACGACATGGGTACATCTCACACAGTGAAAGAAGTTAGAAACAAACAAGTGCACACTTTACGATTCCACACAGTGGGGGCATGCAGGAGGCAGCTGGTCAGTGATTCTCTCTCATCATTTATGTTTCTCTCCCTCTGTGAAATCAGTAAAAAAAAAAAAAAAAAAAAAAAAAAAACGGAGAGAGAGAGACAAAACTAAGATTTAAAAAAATTGGAACAGGTCATACCAAAGATGAGTAACAAAAAAATATACAGTGGGTCAAATAGGAATTTAAACTTGATATGGAAAAGAAATAGAAGTTTACTTTGAGTTTTTGAAGCAGGAAACTACTTACACAGTAAGATTTAATACTTTAAGTAAAAACTTCTTTAGGATGTGTCTAACTTGATTTGCCTTAGAGAGCTAGCTTAATATAGGTGAAATGTGTAATAAAAATTTTAGAGCAAATAAAGATAAAGGTATGGATATAGCCTGGTGACAATATAACTTCTTTAAAAGTGGTTCTGATTTCAAGTAAAGAGCAAGAAAACATGTTAGAGGAGGACCTAAGGTTTACAATATGAATAATCTTAGCACAGATTAAAAGAAAGGATTAATATCTATTAAGGATATTATATATCTGATACAATGTTGGACTTGCTTTAAATATGGGGTTTTACTTTGCTGTTTATTTTTTATTCTGGCTACAGTAACTGCCCTAGGCCAAAGTTTCTATTAAGTTTAAATTTCTATTAAAAGTTTAAGTTTCTATTACATTTCTATTAAAATATGTTTACTTGTGGGGGGAAATTTCCTAGTAATAAAATAAGTTCCAGCATGCATTACCTTGTCCTGAAGGGTTTGCTGCCATCTTCCTATTTTGTTTCAACTATGTTCAGTGGCAACTGGTCAGCACTTTGCAATCACCTGTAAAAAATGTATACATGCATACAAAATGCACCACACTTTAATAACAAAGGAAAAGTTGTCCGGAGCAGCTAGCCTTCCTACAATGAAACGTTTGCCATTATCTTCATCTCTTCAGAAACATAAATCTGAAAAGCACACAGACTCTGCAAGCTCAAGTTTTCAATTAGAGCGTGAAGGTTCAATCTCTCTTCTTGCAGATGTTGATGTCAACATTAAGCGCTGCTGTCTTTAATATGTCATCAAGTTGTTTACCAAGTATCACCAAATGTATCAATCACTTGATAACATCAATACGGTCACAATAGAAGGAAGAAAAATCACTCATCTACGGTGGTGCCTCTCGTTTCACTTACTACAAAATGTAGCCAGCAACAATTGTATGCACTGAAAGCTAAAAAGGAGATCTCAAAAATAAGCGACATCCTACGCCTGCCCTCTAGGAACTCACAATCGGAGGGAAAATACAGTCTCATTCAAGAAATCATGCTAAAAAAAGTTAACAAACGCGCTCTTTAAAAGGCGTCAACACTGCTCAGGAAGCAGAGAGCGACTGGTTCCGTCGGCGTGAAGAGGATGCCTTCCGGGGAGCCCGGGAAAGTACAAGCGCGGGCAAACACAAGTCGGTTTGGAACAGAACGTGGTTAGGTGTCTCCGCGGCTGGTGCGCAGAGCAGGCGAAACCCCGTTAGCAAGGCACCTCTGCAGAAGGGAAACGTCAAGCAGGGAGGTGACGGGGCTGGACCAGCACCGCAGAAGGGTCCCTGCCTGCAGCCTTGGAAGGCAGGCTGGGCGGGGACAGTGGCTGGCGGAGACCAAGGAGAGGAGGGATGAGCAACTTTGGAAGGCGAGGGAAGCCGAGAGGCCACTGCCCAGTGGCATCAGAGACAACGGCGGCAAGTCAGCACCGGAGCCATACACCTCCCTCCCCCGGAGCCGCCGGGCGGCCCTACTTACCGGGGACGCGAGGGCGCCGGGGACCGCCTCGCCCGTGGGATCGCGCTCTCCAAGGGGGCGCGACCACTTAAACACCGGCAAACCCAGCGCGGCGTGCAGCTCTACAACCTTCCCGCCCCCGCTGCACTTCCGCCTCCCGGTGACGTCACCCGAGGAAGCGGAAGTCCCGCCCCCGCCCGGGCCCAACAGCCGCTGGCCACGCCGATTGGTGCTCTAACTGCCGCCTCAGCGCAGATGTCACTTTTTTCCCGAAAACTGACAGCCGAAGAGGCTCATGGGAGATGCAGGCTGCGCTTCAGCGGCCGCGGGCCGAGAGGGGCGGAACGCGGCGACCTAGCGGCCGGCTCAGCAAGGCAGGGCCGGGGCGGAGGCCGACCGGGTCCCTAGTACCTTCCAGCGGCCCCTTTCGTTGTCCAGGTCGCTGGCCGGAGAAGTCCCGCCACCGAGCCGGCGGGAATCCTCTTAGCCTGGGACCGAGTCTAAGAGGGCGTGTCTTCCTAGGCTGGGTTCGCTTTCGAACTATAAAACTCCCATCTCGGTTGCACGTTCACACACACAAATCCCAGGAATACTTCTCTTTTATATAGTTTGTGTAGTGATACGCATAAGAAAAGAACTAGCCACGGAGAAGTTTTCAGTACTGTTCAGTGATCTGTGTCTGGGAAATGGCTGAGCCCCCTCTCAGAACCCCTAGTGGGATTTCCGCGTTTACAATAAAAGCTAACCTTCCGTGGCCGTTACTCCGGTATGCATCTCTTTTAGAATTTGAACATATGTTCTTCATAATGGATGTTTTCTCAGCAGTAAATGTTTACGATGCGCTGTTTTGCTGTGCATGGACCCGTGACTAAAGCAATAAGACTACCAAGCATTTATCGAGTGCCGGTAGCGTGCTAGGTGCTTCCTGCACGTCAGCTCCAGGCTTGTCATCCCTGGTCTGCATGAGGCTGAGAAGTGTTGAGTTACTTATTCCATGCTAAGCAGCCAGCAGTTTCAAGAGACTAACGGGTCTGCCAGATACTAAGGCCCAGGTTCTTTTTTTATTTTTATTGATTTTTACAGAGATGAAGGGAGAGGGATAGAGAGTTAGAATCATCCATGAGAGAGAAACATCAATCCGCTGCCTCCTGCACCCATTCCCCCCCCCCCCACACACACACACACACACTGGGGATGTGCCCACAACCAAGGTACATGCCCTTGACCAGAATCGAACCTGGGACCTTTCAGTCCTCAGGTTGACACTCTATCCACTGAGCCAAACTGGTTCTTAAATCTCACACCTAACTTCTCCTCTGGGGGAAGGAATTCCTTGAGACCAGCTCTTGCTGACTAATCTAGATATAGTGTAACATAGCGATTTGGTGGTTGGCCAGGATCTCTTTTCAGTTGAAAGCATCTTTTATTCCTGGCGTGACTAAAAAGATGATCAAGATATACCGTATATGCTGATAGAACCGTAGGAGAACCTTTTAGAGTTAGGTTGCCTGAGTAGACAAACAGAAACCAGGGCATAAGAAACCTCCCAAAAAAGTTCCAAATGGACCTTCTGAACAAAGCTCATTTAAGGAAGAAAGGTTCTACCTCCAGAACAGCATTTTGCAACTTCCCGCCCGGCAAGTTCATCCTCCCAGGGTTGGGAGACTATTACAAGGAGAAAGATCGATTAACTTGCTGCTAATCATTTTGCCCTTTACTGATGGGAATCCCTCTGTCTTCTTCTTCTTGAGAGATTTTTGTAATTTCTGCTTCACAAGAATTTTAACATATTGGTTAATAGTAGGTCAGTTTCCTGGAGTTCAAATTCCAACTCTGGCATTTAAATGTTGAGCCCTTGTTTAACTTTTTGGTGCTTCTGTCATCTGTAAAAGGGAAATAAAGATAAACGAGGAACCACTTCACAACCATGAGATGGCTACTATTAAAAAAAAAAAAAAAAAAAAGACAACACAGAAAATGACAAGTGTTGATGAGGATGTGAAGAAAATGAAACCCTTGTACAGCTGCTGTGGAATAGTATGGCGGTTACTCCAAAAATGAAAAATAGAATTACTATATGATCCAGCACTTTCATTCCTGGGTATATATCCAAAAGAATTGAAAGCAGGGCCTTGAAGAGATAGTTGCACACCCATATTCATAGCAGCACCATTCATAACATCCAAGAGGTGGAAGCAACCCAAGTGTTCACTGACAGATGAATGGATAAACAAAATGTGGCATATATATAGAATAAAATACTATTCAGCCTTTAAAATGTGCATTCTGATATGTTATAGCACACATGAACCTTGAGGACATTATGCTAAGTGACATAAGCTAGTCACAAAAAGACAAATACTGTGTGTGATATTGAGATTTATAAGAAATATATATTTCTCATATATATTTCTCTTCGCCACAATTCTGGGCTTGCAGCTCTAGAAACCTTGGGTGTTTCCCAAGCGTTGAGAGTGATAAAGGTGTCTTTTGTTTTGTTCATAGAGTGGCCTTTGGAAAGCACCTACAGGTGGGGGCTGTTTGCCAGGGGAGCCAACCAAGGTGGGAGCGTTCAGTCCCACCCCAGACTTCCTGGGATGGGGCAAGGAGCTGGAGATTGAATTCAGTCACCAACGGCCAATGATTTAATCAATTATGCTTATATAATGAAGCCTTTATAAAAACCTAAAGAGCGTGTTGGGAGAGCTTCCAAGTTGGGGAGCCAGAAGGCTTCCATGTGCCCCAGTGCGGGCCCCAAGTTCCATGAGGACAGCAGCTCATTTGTTTGGGACCTCTCCCTACGTATCTCTTCATCTGGTTGCTGATGCATATCCTTCAATATCCTTTGTAATAAATCAGTAATCTAGTGAGTAAACAGATTTTTCTCCTGAGCTCTGTGAGCCATGCTAGCCAATTAATTGAACCCAAGGCGGGGTCTTTGGAACCTTCAATCTGTGGCCAGTCAGTCAGAAGTACAGGTAACCTGAGCTTGTGTCTGGCATCTGAAGTGTGTGTGTTGGGGAATGGAAGTCTTATAGGACTGACCCCTTAACCTGTAGAATCTGATGCTTTGGAATTGGGTTCAGGAACTCTATTTACTGTGTGATTCCATTCACAGGAAGTACTTAGAGTTGTCATAATCATAGGGACAGAAATCAGATTGTTGATTGCCAGGGGCATGGGGGGAGAGAAAAGTGGAGAATTATTTAATAGTTATAAAGTTTCAGTTTTACAAAATGGAAAGAATTCTGGGGATAGATTGTGGTGACGGCAGCAACTATGAAAGATCTGTGTTTTACTGGATATCTTGGTAGTTGGTCAGTAGGTCTTAGCACCTCCGTAAATTCCAGAATAAAGGAATGAATGTTACAGTCCTATGGCTCTGCCAAATGATAAGGAAACTTGAGGAGGTAGCAGTGTGTGAATTACTTCATCCTGAGCCATTGTGTTTATTACAGACTTTCAGTATCAAAACGGGGTTGATAAAAGTCCTCAGTTTCCAATTGAAGCCACCCTAATCCTCTTTTGCTATTCTGTGATAAAATGTTTATAGGAAATGCATTAGGCTAGACAGCCTTTAAAATCAAGTGTGGAGAGCCCTGGCCAGGTGGCTCGGTTGGTTGGAACATCCATCTACACCAAAAGATTGTGGGTTTGAATCCTGGTCAGGGCACATACCCAGGTTTTGGGTTTGGTCCCCAGTTGGGGCACCTTCAGGAGGCAATCAACAGATGTTTCTCTCACATCAGTGTTGCTCTCCCTTCCTCTCTGTCTAAAAATCAATTTTTTTAAATTAAGTGTGTAGAAATTTGAGACAATTACAGAATTAGTTACCTATTGCTTATAACAAATTATTCCCAAAGTTCTTGGTTTAAAACAGCAAATACAGATTTTCTTACCGTTTCTGAGGGACTGGAATCTAGGCAGTGGGATCTTTAGCGTGGGATTTTTTCTGAGATTGCAGTCAAGATGCCACCTGGAGCTATATGGTCGCTGGGAAGCTCAGCTG